AACATCCACCACTGCATGTCTCTCCCTCTCTCGGTTTGTTTCTCCTTCTACTTTGCTTTTCTTAAACTAACTTCCTTCTCTTTCGGAAATCTAAGTTCTATTTTTTAACCTTCTTTCTTTACATTTATTTATCTTTCCTTTTCAAAATATTTTTATACCAAAATAAATATTCATGTTTATATACCAATTAAATTTTGATTGTTCAAATTGATACATATGATATTATTTGTAATTCTATTAATATTGTGTTTTGTCAAAACTTTTTTAAAAATCAAAGAGAGTTCAAAATAAGAATGACAAGAGAATTAAAATAAAAATTAATATTGTGTGTGTGTGTGTATAATGCAAATAAAATTTATCAAAAACAAACTCTTTAAATGTATTTATGTGTGTGAGAGAGAGAGAGGTTTTGTTGCAGAGATCAAATTCCCTTAGTCATCCTTATCATCTTTTACCAGAGTAATAGAGACAAATTCCTAACAAAATCATAATTTGTTGTACATATCAACCATTTCTCTTTTTTTCACAACACAATATTTTATTTCCTTTTTCATCTCCACTTTGTTTCTTTCTCCCAACTCCATTTCATTCCACAAATATTTCTATATAACCAGTCCAAACTCCTCCACCATCTTCCACCGTATTAATACTCATGGCCACCGCACCTTATCCACAACAACCACCTTCACGTGACTTTCTAAACACAATCCAAGAAATCACTCAAATCTATTCTTCACTTCCACCTAGACCTTCCATAGGCGAAGTAGAAGCTGCCACTTCTACTCTTGACACCCTTAACAACGTCGAACAAACCAAACTCCAAGATATCTCAAACCAAAAGCCATTACAAAATGTTCCTAAAGATATTTTCTCTGTTCTTTAACAGCTCAAGAACACCATGGTCCTCTTTCAAATTCATCAACAGAGAAAAGAAGCTATTCACCTTCTTCAACTTAAAAAGATGTTTTCAAAAATTTGGTGATCTCATTCAAAGATCTTTTGAATTTGTTTCTTCTGATGATGTGAATACACAGAAAAAGAAAGTTTCCACCTTAATAGAAGTTGTGGTTACCTATGAAAAAGAAGAACATGAAGAGCCTTAAAAGAGTAATGAATATTTTAAATCTCAAAGGGTTCCTCACTACACAAGCAACTTTTGATAACAGGTTAGTTCCAATAATTTTGATCACGGTCTCTCTGCTAAAAACCTACAAAATACGGACACCTGAATCACGACACTGACCCTAACACATTGACTTATGAAAACATATTTTATAATGTTTGATTTATTCTTTGGTTTGGTTTTAATTTTGTAGGAGATGAAAACATTAAGAAATTGAGTCTAATGAAAGTGGCTACTATGATTGAAAATTATGTTAACAATTAAGACATAAACCTTGAGCTTATAGGAAAATTAGTGGATCAACGGGAATGGTTACCATTATCAATATGGAAATTATCTGATGTAACTCAAATAGAATTATGTGAAAACTGAATCATGGCTCTTCCGACAACAATCATAGGTCTAAAATCTTTAACAAAGCTTGATCTTCACTCAAACCAACTCATAAACCTTCCAAACTCATTCGGGTAATGGTAAACCTTACTAAACTTGACCTACACGCTGTAGCAGGGAAATTTGTGAGTGTAAACTATTGATTAACTTAACTTAAAATGCAAGAATTGCCACCACACTTTTATTTTATCCAAAAGGAAAGGAAAAAGGGCGAACAAAACCTACAGAGTTCTAAAATAAGAAGAAACAGAGAATGGGTAAGGGAGTTGGTTACGCAATGGGAATGTGTTAGCACCCAAAACATCTATAGTACTCTATATGAGCCCTTGAAATATTTGTGCTTTTTGGTTTGAAAAGCTTGTTTGAAAAGAGATTGGGGAGATGAGAAGAGAACTATTTTTAAAGATTTTTGTGTTTAAAGAGACTTCTTAAGCATCATGCCTACGTATTCACAAAGTGCAATATAAGATCAAAACCTCGTAGTTTGTAGTACAAATAACTAAAATGGTTTGTTATGGCTGATTTTTAATGTAAAGACAAGTCGTTATTTTAAGGATAAAACTACGACTAGTCATCCACAAGTACAAGAAAACAACATTTGCATCATCTTAAGATGGAGGATTTTGCTTGGAGTAAAATCAACAAGTCTATCACTCAACATCTAAGTGGAAAATGTCAGCATCTTAAATACTATGGGGAATAGGAGAATTATATCTCAACTATGAAAATGACTCATGTCTAAACTTTATAAAAAAAAATTAAAAGGAAAAGTGTACAAAGGCATAAAAGGTTTGAATGAGTTTTTGTATTTTTTAAAGTATTTTTGAAATTAGTCAAAGTATGATTAACATTGATTGATATTTATTAAAGAAAGAAAAGTTTGAAAATCACTTGACAAAAGTCAAGGTTTTTTGCGAAAGAGGTTTAATTTTAAAAACAAGAGGGTTTAAAAAAAGAGAGAAGATTTTGAAAATTAAAGAAGGGGTGGAGAAGAAGTGACTATCCTAAAAAGCAAAATAAAAGCTAGAGATGGGAAGATCTAACCACAAAAGGAGCAAACACTTGAGAAGAAATCAACATAAGCAATCCTCATCCTTTTGGATTTAAACCACAAGCATAATAACCAGATGAGTTAAAGTTTCGGAGAAAATCTCAAGTTAATCCATAGAAAATTCAAAGCAAGGTCCTTCCAAGGTTTAAAAGCCAATTATGAGAGTCATGTATCAGATGTTTTTCATAATGCCAAAGTATCAACATATGCACACAGAAAAATTCCAAACAAACAGACAAAAGCAACACCAAGGTTCAAGGTCTCAAATCTCCAAGAGAAAAGGGAAGGGTCCTAGATCTAAGTCCAAAGTCCAAGGTCTAAGCATAAAGTCATAACAGTCCGGATTTAAGAGAACCAAGTCTTTTAGTGTTTAAGTATTTATTAGTATCTTAAGAGAGGTATGGTCCAAATGGACAAAAAAAAAGCATATGCATAAACAAAGGTCCAAGTGGACAAAGAGAAAATAAGATAATAATATGATATGAAATGCTAAAATAAAAGCATAAATGTAAATTGCAATAAGTAAAGAGCAATAAAGATAAATGACAATTAAAGTAAAGATTAAATCAACAATAAAAAGTTAGTCAGTTAGTGACTAGAAGGGAAAAGTCAATTTGTCATTTTTTGGAGAATACTTAACTAAACATCCACAAACATGGAAACCCGGTCTCATACGTTATCAAAGGAAGGGCTCCAGCTTGGATAAGAATAACAAGTATTCCACTAGCTCCTTTTGATAATAAAAGATCCAATTTATTCCATACAATACCATGAAGAATAAGAGATTGATAACTCACTTATAAAAATAACTCAACTCCGATTTTAGGCCCAATTTAGCGCTATGTTAAGAAATTGTAATCAAACTTATATAGAAGTCATGACTATCTGAGACCAGTCAATAATAATGTTTGTGTTAATACAAGTTAGAGAAATGACATGTAGGTCATTCTCCTAAAACTCGCCACACTAAAAGAAAAAAGGTAGTGGTCTCACCTTAATAATAACTTCTAAGAGAAGTCTCATGACATTTAAGGTTTTCATTGACCAAAAGAAAAAAGAGAAGAGGGGAGAAAAGAAGCCAAATTGAACCACAACATTTGAATCATTCCGTCTTCAAGTTCCATCACTTTTCTTGGTGGATTAAAGCACTCAACCTATCACTAATTCAAAACACCTAAAATGAATCCAATTATTCACTTAAAGATAGATTTGAACTAATGAAGGTTTATCCAACTTCATTAAACACCTAAAGCCCATGGAATTTGAAGAGAAGTTTTATCAACAAACACCATAATTCAAGGAAAAACAAAAGGAAATGGAAGAAGGAAGAAAAGACACCAAATCAGTCCCAAAATAAGCCTAAATCAGCATTTTGACTTGTGTTAAGCGATTAACCAATTTTAGGTAGACTTTGGTTAATCGATTAACATTGACAGGACAACAAAAAAATTTGAAAAAAATAGCATTTCATAATTCAATCATTTCTTCAAACACCTCATGATCATGAATGAATTATGTACAAAAATTCAAGTAAAACAATAACAAATAACACCAATGAAACTCAATTTGAAAGATCCAAAGATCAAGCAACAAGAATCAATAAGAGAACATATTGTGGAAGATGAGTCAAGCACAACAATAGTGGAACAAGAGTTTACCACTTCCAAATCTGAAAATGCTTCAAATCTACTTCAAGAACACATTCCAAAGCCTTGATCTACAAAATTTGATGTTGATGAAGTGTTTTGATGGAGGTTTAACTCAAAGATTAGGAAATTTTAGTGAAAAGCTTACTAACTTTTAATGGAAGAAAGAGCTTTGGTGAATTTTGGTAGATGAAAAAAACTGAGAATAAAGAAGAATTTTGAAAAGGTGAATTTGGCTATCAAAAGCTTGAAGAATGAATGAAATGCGAGCTCTATTTATAGAATTAAGGTTTAGGAATTTTGGTGGTTTGAAATTTGATTTGTAATTTAATCTAGGCATGGAAATTGAATTTGGAGGCAAAATCAAGATCAAGCGGGGATTAATGAGGGTGTATGATGGGAATTAATTATGATGAGGTATGGGAATTAAATGAAAGTGATCTAGAATATTCTCATGATGAACAAGTGAATTTTGGTGCCAAAATGCTGCAGAATTTGAATTTTCTATTTTTAGCCAAAAATGCATGTGTTAATCGATTAACCAATTTAGGAAAATTTTGGTTAATCGATTAACATAGTGAAAAAATGAGAAAAATGAATTTTTGTTGTACTGTCTTGGCTCTGGCTCGATTCTTTTGACTTGTCAAAGAATGCATGAAAATAAACACATGAACCTTATAGTCTCTTGAGCAATAAACAATCAAATTATGGGAAACTCTTGATCAAATGATTTTTGAATCATTTGCAGATCAACTTTGACTTTGTTCAGATGAATTTCATTCGAGCT